AACCAATCCGAACCTGGAAAGTCACCTGTAATAGAGCTTCAATATCGCCAGAATGGCCAGTTCCACCATTAAAAAATGACACCATTTGTAGCATTTTAACAGTATTGGTCCGCTTTTTTTTCCCATCAGGCCCACTTGCCCGTGCCTGTCCTGTCACGTTTAACCCCGATGAGAACACTCACTGCCAAAAGTCCCTGGTTCCCTGGCTGGAATGGGACACGATGTGACACCTAATCAGTGTATTACTAGAACTCTGTGAATCAGTGACTCCAATTTTGGTGCAATCATTTTCCCAGATATTTACTAAAAGTAAGCAGCCCAAGCCAGGGGCGTTCCAAGAAGGGGGAGCCTGGAATCTGATTGGCCCCACCCGTCGCCAATCCACCTCATTATACTCTCTTCCACTCCACATTTGTCTTTTCAGAGGCTGAGAGGGTTTTATTTAAAGCTAGAGTGAGAACCAAGATACCCATAATGCATACCATTGTACCAAAACAAAGCAGGCTCTTTGCGGGCTACCAAAAGCTATACGGCACTGGTCGACAACCCCATAATATAACCCAGGGTTCCAGTCTTGTAGGGATGCATCCTAGTGCAGGAAGGTTGTTTACACCATTTGATTGGCCCTTCGACTGTGAACGATGAAACACAGTCTTCTGTCAAGTCAGCAAGCATAGCAATAGATTTTTATATACTTAATCGGTACTACAAGGAGTTTTTAAGCGGTTACGCAACCAGTCTCAAGTGAATACGTATGTCTCTAATGGACCTACATAACGTACATAAGACTTAAGCAAGAAGAAAATGGCGTCCACTGGGTTGGATTCAGTTGGATTCCCCTTGAAATCCATGAAACAAGATGTGGAAACACTAGCAGCCAGAAATTAAAAGTACCTGATTGCTGCTTTAAGTCGTAATAAAGTTATAAAAATGTCAGATCAAAGCCAAATATTACATCGATCTTTTCTCAGAATGTGAAATGAGAAATCAGCAAGAACAGCCTTGAGGTAAAAACATTAAGATATGACTTATAGATGAAATGCCCTTTCAACAGTGCCAGGTCTGCATGATGAATAAGAGGCACTGTCATGCACAGCTGCTCTGAACAGGCTGACAGGCCCACCTGAAGAATGTGAGCAGCTGCTGTCTGCTGCACGGCGACCAGGTCAGATCCACACTGTTGTAACCTCCATCCGAGGCCATCATGAAACCACTCCTGCTGCAGGTGTTTCCCACTCCATCATGGTTGATTCCAAAACTGGGTGAACGCGAATGAAATATATAACATGTTGAAATGTCTCTATTAAGGTGCTTATATCATGAAGCAGTCTCAAAGAAGTTGTAAAAGTAGATTTTGCATGATTGCAGCATTTAAACTCCACTCTAAGGATTTCATTAAAACTGTCTGCTATAGTCTTTTAACCGAGCTGTATTAAATTGCACAATGTAATTAAATCTTTTTACTGGCCTGTATTTTCCTAATACTTTATAAGAACTTTCCTGGAAGGAGACTCATTATTTGCTACTAATTATAAGGACAATAGTTTGTTTTAAAGCCAAGACTTCACACTTAATTAAGTTTAAACTAATTCACATACATTATCCCTGCAGCAAACAACACTGTTTCTATCCTTCTGTGTCCCCAATTTGCCTGAAATGTAAATCAGCAGCATTTGGTGTTGCCCCAAGCAAAGCAAGTTCTGGTCAAATATTTTTAAGCCCTACTATTAAGTCTACCTCATTTCCAATCAAACAAAGACAATATAATATACTGTGGTTATTGCAAAAAATTATATTTTAAGTTTTTGGAATAATGAAAAATTCTCATTTGTATTTGTGTTGCTTGTTTACAAAACTGAAAATTAATCATTTAAATACAAGTATATCTTTTGTATATCGATAACTGGATACTTCATTCTCCATATATATGTTTAATATATGTTTCTCTATGGTCAAATATGAATCTTTTGCATGATAGCTGACTTCTTGTGAACTAACTAAAATGGTCCAGATTACAGTAGCAACTAATTTAAATAAGTACATTAAAAGTGTACCAGTTGTCTCTACTTTCC